CCGAAATGTGCGCTGCTTTTCGGTCTGGTTACTACCGTTTATGTCAGAACCGGTGCCACCCATCCCTAGTGTTGCTATTTAAATCAACCTGATCACGAGGTTTGCCTTCCTCTATAAAAGCACAGGTTTTTGTTTTAATTCACTCTACAGGACTCAGTCTGGATGTTAAATCTTAAAGTTCATGATAGTAGGAAAAAGAAACATCAGCATCTAGACAAACCACAAGCCTTTTGTAACAATGTCCTTTGGACAGATGAGACCAAAGTAGAGATATTTGGCCAGAATGCACAGCACCACGTTTGGAGCAACCCAAACACAGCATTTCAGCAGAAATGTCTAGTATCAACTGTCAGCACGGTGGTGGAGGGGTGATGATTTGAGCTTCTTTTGTAACCACACGACCTGGGCAGCTTGCAGTCATTGAACATAAATTCCTCTGGACGCCAAAGTCAAATAGCCAGTTCCAGAGTCAAATATGAGGCCATCTGTCCGACAGCTTGTTCCAAACAGGACAATGATCCCAGACACAGCAGCAAATTTACAACAGAATAGCTGACAAAGAAAAGAATTCAATTACCCAATCGAAGTCCAGACCTAAATTGAAGTGCTGTGATGGTACACAGGTGGTACCTGTCACGTTTGGGTCAAATCTGACAGATTTACAAATTAAAACACTCATAAATATTGTGTTTTACGTCTGATTGCCTTATGACATCCTCCACACTTTGCACTTGAACATGTAAAAGTGATGATCACCCCTTTTGTTGAATTTTGAGGGTTTTAATCAACCTTGTTGCATCTGTGATGTTCCCGGTCAAAGGTGACCACCATAGGAAATGAATGCGAACTGAACGACCAAATGAAAGACCCACTGAACTGAATTTGGTGGTGAAAAATGTTTGTTATGCTAATTTAAGAGCTATTAAAACAAACTGACCACTAAAGTAAGGGGTGGGGACCACAACTGAGAGGTTCTCCCCAGTCCACCTCTGCAAACATCAATGGACTGACTCAACTTTGTAAAGAAGAGTGGGCCAAAATTTCTCCTCAACGACGTGAGAGACTGATAAAGTCGTATAAAAAATGACTTCCACTTTCAAATTTGAGATGCCCGTCAATCAAAGTGAGGTCTAGATGAATGTAAGTGGGTGCACGGAGGGTGTTTCTTTTTTTCCACCCAGTGTACAGTTATCAAGGAGGAAATTACAGAAAGGAGGCTGTAAATATGTTTTCAGTGCTGTTTTAACCCTTTAAAGCCGGTCGGAGCGGGCACGCTCCGTTTTGCGTAACTATT